TATACTGTAGTGTGTACATGTCATTGACTAAATATGCTCTACAACATGCTCAACTTTTGTTCAGAATCAGCTTCTTATCACTGGTAACGACGCGGTGTTCCTCATTTCACTCATTCCTGCAGCTTCACAGTGCTATAAACAGCCGGACGCTAAGCTTCCACAGAGCTCAATAGCAATGCAAAGACTGCAGCGAAACGAGACGAGTCATTGGATAAATGCTGGCTTTGTCCTGCCCATCGGAAGCTGAGCGTCTCTGGGGGTCTATGGGGCAGGGGGCTGGCTCGGACGCTCAGCTTCTGCATGATGATTGGATGATCTGTCGGAGGCTGAATCCCTTTTTGATTGACAGCGAAATGAGCGAATCAGCAATCTTTTTGGTGTAAACATGCATGGGAGCAGTTTTTAGTTTCATTCTATTCTGAGTTGAAGCAGAGACTTTATTAATCCTTTTAGCAGTATTTTCTTTGTTAAAAATGACTAGCAACAAATCGAACTTCTATTTCTGGTGGTTGTTTAGCTGCTTGTGTTTGGAGACGGACTTCTATCACTCTTTCTGACTTCTTCTGTCCAGCATGGGTGCTGCTGAGCCCCTTCACTGTCACAAAGCACTCACAGGCGGACACACTTCACACTAGCCTCACACCAGTAACAAGCTGCACATATGGCAGACAGTTTGAATGTTGTGGAGCGGATTTTGGTGAAGCCATTATAGTCTTGTTTACAGAGAAAAACTTAGAGTTAAACCACAGGGCTGATAAACTCCTCAGATTAATTTGGTGCAAAAGGTGGAGAAAAGTAGCAAGTCTTTTCAGCTGTCCTGGTATGACAAAGTGAGCTGGCTGCTGTAAAAGACTATAGAATAATCTGGAAACTGATTATAAAAGCATTGGATCAATTAATTCCTTTTAAAAAATCATCAAAGCAAATTTGTTAAAGAAATATGAAATTGTTTAATTTGTATTTGTATGAGTCACTGTTTGAGGAGTTTAATTTTTTAGCTGTTTTATAATTTGGTTTATTGCTTGAAATTAATATTTTTTTGTAAATAGGAGCAAATATAAGATATTTTTCTTCTTCTGCTG